TAAGACGTGTGGACTTCAACTCCCAGAATTCCTCAGCCAGACAGGTGAGGGAATAGAAGGGGAACTAAGTTGGCAGGAACCTAGAATCGGGTGGGGAAACCTTGGCTCTTTTATGGCTTGTGGACTTCAACTCCCAGAATTCCTGAGCCAGCCATGCTAAGGGGAAAGCGACAGGTTTCCAAGCTGAGCCAGGCTGGCTCAGGAATTCTGGGAGTTGAAGTCCACGAGTCATAAAAGAGCCAAGGTTGCCTACCCCTGAGTTAGGCCATCTTTTTCAAACTTAAGTCATTTCAAGATGTGGGGACTTCAACTCCCAGAGTTCCTCAGCCAACATGGCTGACTGGGGATTCTTGGGAGTTGACGTCCACACCTGTTAAAAGTGGCCAAGCTTGAAAAACAGAGGATTAGGTTAATATTGCTACTCTTCTGCTCCACTCCTTGGGAACAAATTCCGCTGAATTTAATGGGTTTTTGTGATTTTTTTAGGCACGTGCATCCAGGTATTTGCCACGAAATGCAGGATTGTACCCTTAAGCAAATTCCTGTGGGCGGGATAATAAAATATCGCACAAACACACACACACACACACACATCCTTCCACGTCCTTATAAAACGCTGTGCAAATGCTAGACCCACGGCTTTGCGGTAGACAACCGAGATCGTCGGAAGACATATTTATTGTCCTTTATTTTGCAAAACTTTGGGTGAATTTTCTCTGCATCCAGACTCCGTTTTCTGCAAGGTGACTGTTTTTCTGCATTCTTTCCTTGTTTTAATATTAATTTTTCCTCTGTTTTTCTTTTTTGCAGAAGAGAAGCAGGAGATAGGCAGTTACGAAGATGCCCCGGCGGAAGGCAGACGCAGCCAGTTCGGGGAACGGCACGGGGGTATCGCGCAAACGGGCGAGCACCGGCCGGGGGCCCCCGCTGACCGCCAAGAGGAAGAATCGGGGTGGTGGGGGCAGCAGCAGCAGTAGCAGCAACAACGGGGGCGGGGGCAGCAGCGGAGAGGAGCAGGATGGGCTGGTGTTGCCCCTGCTCTCGGCCCCCGGAGGAAGCAAGAAGACGCCCCGGTCTGGAGGCGGGCGAGAACAGCAAAGCCCCCCCGGTTTGCAATCGCCCCAGGCCGCCGTGGTGGTCAGCGAGCCCGAACACACCAAGGAGCGCATTGTAAGGGGATCAGTCTTACCTCTCTGGGAAAATGGGTCTAAGGGTGTGAGTCTGTGAAGACGCAGCTGCTCTTAATGGGAATTAAGAGGCTGGACTGGAGGGGTCTTCCAGATGGGGAGAATCACCCACCTACTGCCACAATTGATGCCCTTCTACGCGGGGTGCATTCCCCCCCCCATTTTTCTGCCTGCAGTTTCCTTTTCAGAGTGCTAAGAAAACTATTTCCATTCATTCATTAAAAAGACCTTGTTTGTCGCCATCCACAAAATAAATTATTATTTTTTCCATAGTGTAGAAACTGAAATGCAGGACAAGATTTTTTTTTTCATTGGGTAATTTTATTTTATTTTATTATTTTTTTGCAAGTATTGGCTTTGTTTTTTCAGTGCAGGGATGCTGCAGTCATTTCATTTTTACCCAAACTGGAAATGCATTCATTCAAAAGATAAGGAAACCTCTTGCCTCTTTTGAATCGGATCCCCTCTGTTTTTTTCCTTGGTTGAGAAGTTGTGTGAACACACAAAATTTGCACCGGTGTCTTTCCCCCACCCTCCTCCAATTTCTGTGATTCCCTAGCAGGGTTTTCCACGAATGAAACACTCATAAAATAGCAACTTGAGCTATCCATGTTTCCTAAATAAATGCAGGATTCTCTTTATTTTTGTCGTAGGCTAAAATTGCATCTTTTCTGCCAGGGATACTTAAAACGCTCCGTTTTCTGCTAGGGACTTTGACTCATGTTTTAGGCATCCACTTTGATTCTTCTGATTCTCAGGACTTGAAACGGCTCACATTTAAAATCAGGACTTGACACAGCTCACATTTAAAATCAGATTTTTTCTTTCTTCCTTTTCAGAAACTGGAAGGCTCAAAGTGTAAAGGGCAGCTTTTGATATTTGGGGCCACGAACTGGGACTTAATTGGCCGAAAAGAAGTCCCAAAGCAGCAAGGTAAGTAAGCTTGAATCATTTCTGGATTAAGCAAGCTGAGGGTGCGAACTTCTTGCGTGGAAACACAATGGTTAGGAAAACGAACTAGTGAGGAATGAACGTGATGTGTTATTCTGAATATACAATAGTAAGAAGAATGATATGCGTTGACTAACTGATACTGTTTATGATTATCGTTTACTACATTTACTACAGTTATTTATCACTATATCAACTATTGTTAACTGAACATGTGTACCCGGACAATAGTCTGTTTGCTTAAAATTAAAAATGTTATTGGGGGATAACCCCAATGTTGACCCCAACCCTGTCCTAATCCCAGTCCTGATCCTAACCCCACCCTAATCCCGATCCTATTTTATCCCCAACTCTAAAACGCAATAAAATCCTTTGAAAAATAAAAGAAACACAATTGAGAAGGCAACTGTTCCAAGCCAGCTGTGGCTGAGGCCGGTTGTTCTTATTTCCAAGAGAACATCTGGATTCAGACAAGGACGGCTGTTGTTTTTAGACTGGTTTTCTTTAATGGGTTCCATTAGACTTTTATTCCAGAAGTAGTAATATAAAGCACGGCTTTTGGGTAAGCTACAGTGACCTTGATGATGCTTTTTCCCTGGAGCACTGCCCTCTTAAATAAACACACCGCAAAAACGCGCAGGGAGTCACCGAGAAGAGAGGCTGCAAAAAATATTAAAATCATTTTAGCCAGCTTAAATGGGGTGGAGGGTTGGAAAAATCAAAAACGGCAGTTCTTCATTCAGGATTAATGGTTAGTTTTCTGTTTCAGAAGAGTTGAAAGAAGATGTAGACTTGTGGGGTTTACACTTCGGGTTGATCTTGGTGGCTGGCTGGATCCGAGGGAGGTGGGAGGTTTAGAAATAGGAAATTTAAATAAGTTAAAAATTTCTGCACTGCTCCAAGCATTGTGTTTTGGGGAGAGGGCCTGTTAGACTTGCAACTAGTCGCTTAGTTGGTCAGTCCAAGCAAAATTTGTCACCTTAAAGTCCTCGACGTACGAGCACAATTGAGCCCAAAATGTATGTTGTTGTGAGACATGGGTTAAGTGAATTTTGCCCCACTTTATGACTTCTTTTTCGCCTCAGTTGTTAAGTGAATCACTGCAGTTGTTAGATTATTAACACGGTTGTTAAGTGGATCCGCTCCCCCATTGATTTTGCTGGTCAGAAGGTCGCAAAAGGGGGTCCCGTGACCCCCCCCCCAGGGACGCTGCAACTGTCATAAATGTGAATCAGTTGCCGAGTGTCTGAATTTTGATCACGTGACCATTGGGGGATGCTGCAACAGTTGTTAAGTGTTATTAAAAATGGTAATAAGTCACTTTTTGAACGGTCACTAAACAGATGGTTGTAAGTCAGGGACTACCTGTGCTGTTCATTTAGCAACCGTTTAGGATCTCTTTTATTTCTGTGCACGTTCTAATTTCAGAATGGAATAGAATAGAATATAGAATAGAATAGAATAGAGATGGAATGGAATGGAATAGAATAGAGATGGAGTAGAATAGAATAGAATAGAATAGAAATGGAATGGAATAGAACAATAGAATAGAATAGAATAGAATAGAGATGGAATTGGAATGGAATGGAATAGAAGAATAGAATAAAGATAGAATAGAATAGAGATGGAATGGAATAGAAGAATAGAATAGAATACAGAATTGAATAGAATATGGAATGGAATTGAAATAGAATGGAATGGAATAAGAATAGAATAGAATAGAAGCAGAATAGAATAGAACATGGAATGGAAGTGAATTGAACTGAATTGAATTGAATTGATGGTTTTTTCTGCAGTCCTAACTATCCGTTCAAATCTGTATCTGTCCTGTTTACTTGCTTTGCCAAACCAGACATTTTATAGAGGTACAAACACAGTTACGGGGTCCTTTATGGGGGCGTTCAGCGGCTCAAGGCTCAGCGTGTTAAAAAAACCTCTTTTTTCGGGGTTCGCATTCGAAGGCTCTGAGAACGTCTCCAACAGTCACTGCTCGCGTCCCACAGCCACTCTTATCTCAGGGCTGACGTCGCCATCTCCAAGCGAGACTAAGCCCCTTTTGTTTTGCTGTCTGGCTTAAAGACATCTGAGCTCGGCCTGTAATCTTCAGCAAGGGAGCCCAGTAGAGTCTGGCTGGCACAAAGAGGCACAATAGATGGGCATGCAGAATGCATGAACCAACTTCCGGGCTTCCAGCATCTATTTTTATCCTGCTGAGAATCCAGGAAAGTTCATTTTGGGGACTTTCCTGGGAAAAACACAAACTCTGGAGTCCGTGATGAGGATGGTGGCAGTTTTAGTCCAAAGCAGGCAGGCTTTTTTTTTCTGCTTTACAAATTTTGCACGTTCACTGATCATTGGTTTGTTTCTAATTTCTCCCTGCTGTCCTGTAAAAAACAACGAAAGAGAATCTAACTGGCTGTGACATTTTAAGTCTTCTTGAAAATATTTTAAATATGAAAAAGAACATAAGACTGAAATAGGAACAGCCACTCAGAAAGAAAACACTTTGAACAACAAGGGAGATGTCCCAACAGCCCAACATTAAAAGCACCTTTTTTAAAATAAAAAACATGCAGGCTACAAAGTGGGGTTCACACTCCTGATTACTTATTTTATTTTACTTCATTTTTATTTTCCTTTATTCTCTTTATTTTCTGCCTTTGCAGCAATTCTCTAGGACCACACGACCAATTTAGCCATACAAGAAACAAATTGTGGTTAAAACGTTTCAGCTTAACAAGTTGCATGAAAGTATCCCAGGTTATTTAAAAAGCCGAACAAAGGGGAATTTTAAAAAAATGTTCCTGTTTAATTGCATTCCTATATTGGGACGGGAGCTGGTGGAATTTATTTTGCTTTTCTGATCATTTTAGTTCAGGCTGTCTGTGTGGTTGTATGTTTGAATCATTTTTATACTTTTTTTTGATTGTATACAATGCCCAGAGTCCATTAGGATTGGGTGGCTATACCAGGGGTAGGCAACCTTGGCTCTTTTATGACTCGTGGACTTCAACTCCCAGAATTCCTGAGCCAGCCTGGCTCAGCTTGGAAACCTCTCCCTTTCCCCTCAGCATGGCTGGCTCAAGAATTCTGGGAGTTGAAGTCCACGAGTCATGAAGGGGGTCATAGTTCCCCCATGCTGGCTCAGGAATTCTGGGAGTTGAAGTCCACAAGTCATAAAAGAGACAAGGTTGCCTACCCCTGGGCTATACCAAATTTGAATTAACAACAATAATAATCCTTGCAGCTGCGTATCGCAACCTTGGCCAAAACCTGTGGGGGCCACACAGGTACGGATGTCTCTCGGGAATCCAAATCCGGACGGCAATTTCGGGTCCGTGTGCTGCTCACAGCCTCTTCATCACCGTGGAAGGGAAGCTGTGGAGCTGGGGTGAGTCTCCATTGCTTCATTTTTGTATGTCTTAGCCGGAATTGAGTTTAGCAAGATCTCCTTGGAAAAATGCACAGAGCACACACTGACATTGTGCTTCTCTTTCCCCAGGACGCAACGACAAAGGGCAGCTGGGCCACGGAGATACCAAGCGGGTCGATGCCCCCAAGCCTATAGAAGTGCTCAGCAGTGAGACAGTTGTGTCAGCCGCTTGTGGGCGCAACCACACACTGGCCCTGACAGGTATGGGAGCCTTGGGGTGTATCACTGTGCCTTCCCTTTTTCTCTCTCATAGAGTTTTACAAAGACATTGTTGATTAACCATCTCTCCCGTGGAGGTGGTTAGCAGTATCACGTCTCTGGGTGTGCAGTTAACAAGTAGGCTGGCTTGGTCGCTCCACAGCGAGACACTGGTGAAGCGGGCAGAGCAGTGCCTGCATTTTCTGCATCACATGAGAAAAGCACATCTTCCTTCCCCTGTCCTCACCACTTTCTACAGAGGGACGATCAAGAGCATCCTGTCATACAGCATCACAGTCTGGTTTGGAAGCATCGCTGCTTCAGACAGGAAAGCGGAGCAGAGAGTGGTGAGGACGGCAGAAAAGATTATTAGCAATTCACTCCCTTCTATCCAGGATGTAGCATATAAGCACTGCTTGAACAAGGTCTGCAGGATTGTCTGGGACACTACACGTCCTCTTCACGACCTGTTTTGCTTGCTACCTTCTGGGAGGGGGCTTCGTGGTACCCGGAGCAGAACATCCAGATTCAGTCGCAGTTTTTTTCCATGTAGCATCAACCTTGTGAATGCTCAAGCTTCCTCTTTCCGCTATGTATTCTAAATAGACAGTGATTAATGTTAGAATATAATAGAATAACAAGAGTTGGTAGGGACCTTGGAGGTCTTCTAGTCCAACCCCTGCTCAGGCAGGAAACCCTACACCATTTCAGACAAATGGATGTCCAGTCTCTTCTTAAAAACTTCCAGTGTTGGAGCATTCACAGCTTCTGGAGTCAGGTTGTTCCACTGGCTAATTGTTCTAAGTGTCAGGAAATTTCTTCTTAGTTCTAGGTTGCTATTTGTGCGTGTGTGTGTGTGTATAGCATGTGTATATGTTATGTTATGTATATATATAGGTAGATATATACTTTTGAGAGCAGGCAGCAGAATTTCATTTATAATGTGGGCCAGTCTTCTTAAGTGTTTTTCAACCTTGCTCATTTTAAAACATGTGGACTTCAACTCCCAGAATTCCCCAGCCAGTTATGAATTCTGGGGATTGAAGTCCAGATTTTTTTTGTTTTGTTTTTGTTTTGTTTTTTGCTGGAAATCAGCATTTACTTCCAGTTGGCAGCAAAAATAGCCGCATGGCAAACAATGGGTTTAACAGCTGCCACAAATCGGGCAGGGTTATGTGGCGACCTGCTTAGTGACATTCATGACTTATGACCAAATTGTGGTCGTAAATTGAGGACCACCTATATTAAGCTGCTTTCGAAGTTTTGTGTTGAGGCAAGTTTTGACCGAGTGGGATAAAAAGGGATTTTAATCTTTTCTTTCTAGAGAATGGAGCTGTCTTTGCTTTTGGAGAGAACAAGATGGGGCAACTAGGATTGGGGAACCAGACAGATGCCATTCCCAGTCCTACCCAGGTACAATATTTCAGGTTTAAAAATGCAACATTGGCTAAAATGTTCCTAATTCAACTTTTTTTCTCCTGTTTCTCGCTGCCTGAATTACCAGTTCAGGTTGTGGAAAAAAAATATCACGTGTCCCTCCAATGGAAAACAATGTCCCGGCTGCTCTTCCAAAAACGTTTTTAAGATCCAATTTGCAAAGGAGACGTGCATTAAAAAATACAGAATTTGCACAGGCTTGTGCTAATAGCAGACTGAAGTCTCCCTGAAGTTGTGGGCTTCGGAGGAACAAGAGAAATGTGTTTTTCGGTGTTTCCTTAAATCTTTTTTTGTTTTTTGTTTTAGATCATGTACAACGGCCAGCCAATTACCAAGGTGGCTTGCGGGGCTGAGTTCAGCATGATTATGGATTGCAAAGGGAATCTCTATTCGTTCGGTTGCCCTGAGTACGGACAGCTAGGTATGAGCCTCTACAGCAGGGGTCCCCAACCTGTGGTCCATGGCCTACTGGCCACTGGGCCGCAGGACAGCCTGGCCAGTGTGTGCACGTGTGTACGGGCACTCACCCCCACTCGCGGTAGCACCGCTGCTACGCAAATGGGGTGCTGTGCGGTAAAGATGGCGCAGCGTTAGCACCCGTGCGTCAAAATGGCGCAGTGCTAGCGAGTGTCATGCCCCGTTTGTGTTGCGCGTGCTCGCAGGCCCCGTTTGTGTGCGCGCGTGTAAAACGCTTCCCCCTCCCTTTCGCTCCGGTGCGCCCCCTTCGACTGGAATTTTCTGCCCCACAACAGGGCACAACTCCGACGGGAAGTTCATCGCCCGAGCCCAGAGGATAGAATACGACTGTGAGTTAGTTCCTCGCCGTGTGGCCATCTTCATCGAGAAGACCAAAGATGGCCAGATCCTGCCAGTCCCGAACATCGTCGTGAGGGATGTGGCGTGTGGTGCGAATCACACGGTAAGTGGTTTAGTTCTCTCCGTGGTTTGTGTTCAGCGACAAACTTCGGCTT